GATTTAGGATTATGTAAACCTGTAGATTATTATCAAACATCTAAAAAAAATGAAATTTATGGTGTTTTACCATTTGTAGCTCCTGAAGTTTTAAGAGGTAAACCTTATACTTTAGCTAGTGATATATATAGTTTTTCTATGATTATGTGGGAATTAATATCAGGAATTCCTCCATTTAATAAGAAAGCTCATGATTTTCAACTTGGTTTAGATATTTGTAAAGGTAAACGACCAGAAATTATTGAAAATACACCGCAATGTTATATAAATTTAATGAAAAAATGTTGGAATGTAGATCCATTAAAAAGGCCAATAGCATTAGAAATTAAAATAATTATTAATAATTGGATTAAAAATATTGAATGTAAAAATTTTGATATAGAATTAAAAGATGATATTATAGATATTTATAAAGCAGATAAAGCATTAAAACTAAATCAAGATAATAATTTAAATGATATAAAGGATCATCTACAAGTATTTTATACAAGTCATTTACTTAATTTTACTGAAAGATTAAATGAAATTTTAAATCAAGAAAAAAATGAAAATATATTGCTTTCTAAAAGTGAAGGTATAGATTTTCAAATATAATTTAACTAAAATGTTATAAAAGATATGTTAAGTTCTTAATAAGTATTGTTATAATATTTATAAATTAAATAAATATAAACATTTAAAAATTGGTTTATTTTAATATTTATTTAATTTTATAGAAATGTTAAATAAGTACAGAAGTTAAAATAAATGATATTAAATTAAAATATAATTTAAAATTTTATTTTATAGCATCTAAAAAAATTTATTAATTTAGTAAAAATAGATATAAATTATATAAATATTTAGCTTTGTTTATAGTTATTAATATAACAAATTAGTTTATAATCATTTTATTTGTTTAATGAATACTATATAGAATAGTTATTATAACAAAAAAAACAATAGTTATATAATATTTTTTATTTATAATAAAATTAAATTTATATATTTATTTAAGGATTATTTATTTTATTATATTCTTAATCAGTAAATTTAATAATATAAAGTATTATATAAACCTTACACTTTATATTATTATATAAGATTATGAGGCTGTTTAAATAATTTTATATATACAATACTTAAAAGGTTCATAAAATATAAATGTTTTAGAAAATAAATATAATAATCTAATGAGTTCATCACTACAATGATTTCACGTGTACTATTGCAACAATTCAATACTAATTACAAATACCTGGGTTTTTAGAATATGAAAATTACTATAATATTAATATATTAATTTTAATATTGAACGCAAATAAGCAATTGATATTCTATTGATGTAAAATATAAAAAAGATAGCCGTAAATTTTACTCATGTACTGTAAAGTCGCGTCGGAAAATGACGCACGATTTAACTTACATAGTAATTTATATATATTAAAATTATTTTTCTGGATTTTACAACTAAAATGGTTCTTGCATTTTAAAGTTAAATATTATTTTTTTTTTAAAAAAAAATATGACTTATTAAGATGCAAAATTATGGGAAATTTTAGAAAAAAATTATTAAATGAAATATAAATTTATGAATTTTAAAATTTTCCACAAGTTAAACTCATTTTTTAAAAAAAAATACATGTTAAAATTATATAAAATTTAGAAAGTAAATACTTATATGTATATAGCTTAAAATTTTCTATGTTTTATTATAAAATTAGGATCGGGCGTCATTTTCCGACGCGATTGTATATTATCAAATATATATATATATTATTTAGTTGTACGATCTGCCATTTTTATAACATAGCTTTATTCACATTCTCATAAATTACATGTGAGGTAGAGGTAGAGGTAAAAGTTGATGTAAGGCTTTACTTTACGGTTGTTTAAATATAGTTTTTTTTTTTGATTTTTGATAGAAAAATTTGTTTCATATAATTTTTTAGGTTTTATGATTGCATTAGGTCGCTACGTCGCGTCGATTAAATCATAGGTAAAGCTGAAGGGATTAGGAAATTATTAAGTTATTTCGGTGTGTTTTTTTTTATTGAGACATAGAAGAGAATCCAATCTGTTAAGAAAAAATATTCGCAGTCATTTGTATCGAGTGAAGTTTACAAATCTTTTTCGACGTGTTCAATTTATTGGACTTTAAATTCCAAATAATTTAATAAATCTTAAATCCTCGTTGAATCATTACTGCAGATACCTTCTAATTAATTACACTTAAATTTTAGAAAACTTTATAATTATAGTTAATCTATTAATTAAAAAAAAAAAATGAAAAATAAAAAATACATCCCCTTGTTAATATTTTTTAATTATGCCAAAATTACAAATAATGCTATCTAAAGGTGATGATAAAAAAAAATGAAATAAATCATTTAACGCGTTCTAACGCAACACTGTTAAAAATTCGGGTTCGCCTTTTTTTTTCTTCCAAAATAAGATCGATCATCGTGATGAATTATTCCTTTTCTTGTAAAATGAAATGTTTCTTTTCGCTTATTTCATTAGAGATATCTTCTAATTTTGCATCTTCCATTTTAGTAATGATCCTCTTCATACTATCAGTACCACTACGCTTTTCCACATTCAGGTGGCGTGTACGTGGTAAATATTCCGGATATGTTGTTATAATATATTCCAACTATAGTATATTCAGAAGAAAATATTATTAGTCTTTTTATTAAAGCAGATTTTTTTTTTCAAAAAAAAAAAGGAAATAAAAAAGAAAAGAATAGTTTTTACCAATTTTTCACGAAGTTCCCCTTTTAATTTAGAACCCATTTTAACATTAACAGCTAAAAAAAAAAAAAAATAAGATTAGTAATCGTCTAAGGAGGAAAAAAAAGGAACGGAAAAATCTCTTTCAAACATACCAGTCATGGAAGCTTTTAATACCATACAATTTTCTAGACATTCTTTAATAGATATGGCACCATCACGATGATCCCAATATTCCGATTTTTGCAAAATAGATTGATAATATTGTTTCAAGTCATCCAAAGGTACACCATAATCAACGTAAAACTCAAAACTCATTCCCATGTTTTCATTCACCTTTGTATAATTCTCAAACACACCATTAATAATGCGGGATAAAGGGATTATAATACGTCGTTCATCAGAAGTTTTAACTACGATATATTGAGCTTGAATTTCTTCAACGACCCCCTCGTGTCCATCGATCTTAATGTAATCATCAAGCAAGAGAGGTTGCGTTAAAGCAATTTGTAAAGAAGCGACCAAATTTTCCATAGAAGGTTTAGCAGCCAAACCAATAAATAACGCAACCACACTCGCACTTGCCAATAAACTCGCACCAAGTTCCCATGCTCTAGGGAATGATAAAAGAATTGAAGCGGCACCTATACAAAATATTAACCCATAAATACACCTTATCGTAACTACAAATTGAGTGTGTAATTTACGTGATTGAACACTATTTGATGATTTGATGAAATCATTATTTGTTGATATGGCTATCGAGGTGGCTTTAACAAGTCCTATCGCTGCCCATGTTGAAAATAAGATTAATATTATATCCAATGCGTGCTTTATCGGATCCATGATCGTCGGATCTACGGTTGTCGATATAAATGACAAGGTTATCAATATGGATGCTACCGGAAAAATAAAAAATGTCGGTATCGAACTAATTATTGGTAGAAAAGGGATTAGAAATATATATATATTTTTTTTAATGGTTACTTAAAGAAAAAGTTGGTTGTCGACGATAAATTATTTACCAATTCTTGATCACTTCATTATCAAATACCCATCCCGTCTTCTTTGCAACTTTTCTTATTATGAAAGTGAGTAATAGATGTAATACCATTGACCCAATTGCAATCCCTCCGATAATTAATAAAGGAGTTTTGTTATCTCCTTCGTGAAATTTTAATTGATTTTCAGATGAAGTCGTTGAATTATATTCTGTAGTCGCCATTTTGATTTTTCAATTTAACGCCTTAAATGTTATAATATTTTTATTTCACTTAATTTTTTTTTAAAAAAAAAAAAAAAAAAAAAAGTTGAAAAAAAAAAATTGAAACTCGAGAGTGAATTATAATTGTTCAGTACCACAAAAAAATAAAAACAGATTTACCCGCTTTCAGTTATTATTGAGATCGCCCAAACATTTGCCAAAATGAAAAAAAAATTAATATTAGTTGTAACATATTAGATTTCTCCTAACCAAATTTAGTAAACTGATAAATAATTCAGCCCATCAATAAAAGACAATTAGTCGAATAATTTAAAGTTGAGGATTGTGTTTATTTTATTGATGTTGTACATTACAATGACGTTTGAAGTTTGGTTTCAACTTTCTTAACTAAAATAGGAATCACCATGAAATTTCACATATATAGATTCATTTTTTTTTTTGTGGATATATTCAACAAATCCAGGTGAAGATGCAGAAAAAAGGCTTGTAGACGATTTTTTAAAATAATTTATGAAAAATGCAGATAATAAAAAAAAATAGATGAAAATTTTGGGCAAAGCCGACCATTTGAAGTATAAACGTGAAAAAAAAATCCGAGAGTATCGTAAAACCTATTTTGTTGTTTGAATCTGGAAAAAGACTAGTGATGAAGCAGCTGCTGGTAAAATAAGGTAAGTTCCGGTTAGAAAATGAAATTCTGTAACAAGAACTATTAATATATTGACCGATATGGGCTAGTAAATGTTACGTAATTATACATTTTATTAATTAATTGACACACAATAAGAATTGTGAAATATGTATTTAAAAAAAATACTATTGACATGCCAAAATTTTTCTTAATGTTGAATCGATCCTAATAAAATGTCAATATAAATATCGATAGCAATTCTTTTAAAAAAAATATTGCTTAAAATTTATAAATCACGTGATTGTGCAATGGGCCGACAAATTATCAAATCCTGATTCACAATATATATATTCATTGTATTGAAAGGAGATCAAGGTTTCTTAACTAGTTAAAATACAATACAGCAGTGATCTTTTGGAGTAAAATTTTAAAAGTTCAACATATTGAACTTTATTAGCAAAATATGCTCCTTAAAACTAATAAACTCCTATTTAATTATAAGAAATAAATGATGATGCATGATCGATATACCGCATGGAGAATAATGGCGTCGGTCGGGTTATCGAATATAATAATTCGATTCGATAATTATAATCGCAAATCGTAACTTGATTCGATTCCAAAATTATCAATTTCTATTGTTGCAATTGAAGTTCTGAATTGAGGAAACTATTAAGCTTTTTTAGTTTAATTCTCTAGAAGCTTATTATCACTTAAAATTCGATTTATCCGATTTCGATTTTGACCAAAATTTTCAATTTTAATTCTGACTGGAACTAAAGAATTCGTCATTTTATGGAAAATGAAACCGAAACCAAATAACTAGCAAGATCCTAAATCTAAGGCCCGTCCTAAGAAAGATTTTAATGACAACTATTTATTTGCACGATTTTCTTATGTAGTTATCATATATGGTGACACGATAAAGATTTGAAAGGGTAAGATATAATTTTTATTCAATTATAGGATTTCGGAAGTCTACTTCAACCATACTCTCATCAATCAAGTCGGACTTTATACGAAAAGTTCCAAATTCTAGCTTTACTATATGATAATAAGATAAACCATAACTATGACTAATATAGAAACGAAATGTAATATAATTATTTTAGCATACATATTTAATAAGGCATTCATAATTGATAAAAATATTTATTTTTGATACTTTTGACATTTTCGATATTTCTCCTCAGTTACTGCATTAATTTTTATGGCACCGGTGATTGTCGATGAAACAGGTTTGATATTTTTTTTTTTCTAAAAAAAAATAATGTCTTCTTCTTTCGATTAATTTTCCCAAATTTGAAAAAAAAAAAATTGTTTCGAAACTTTAACATATGCGCATGTAAAATCAGCCCAAGGATTTGAACCTCTAATATTTTGCAGGAAATTAATTTGTGTAAAAGCGGAATCCCACATATATAGAAAATCTATAAAAATGTGTGTGAATATTTTACAAATAGGGTTAGATTGCTTATTCAACCCACAAACAAATTTCGATGAAACGTGGTAACACCCAAAAAAGGATTAGTCAGAATTAAAGTCATACGAATGATATAAAGATAAAAGAAATTGCATTCTAAACATTAGATTATAAAAAAAAAGATTAAATATTTGTGCAGAAATAACATTGTGCGACATTAAAAAAATTGTATTTAAATATGCATTCCTTCACATTGAATTTTAAACTCTAAATAAACGCTTCTGTATTAATTTGAAGCATAAATTTTCCTCCTTCTTGTTTTAAAGAAAAGATCGTTAATTAATTTAAAAAAATGTCCGACAATATTATGAGGGCTGAAATTGTTAATCAAGAATATGGATTATGTCCTGATTGCAATCAATCAAATACTTGGTATAATTGGTGTCAAAATTGCAATTCTAGAAAATTTCAACAAGATTTTTATAAATGGACTAGTGGAAATAGGCTTATCGATAAATTTATTCAAGATACACAATTGAAAGCAAAAAGATCAGTAGAATTTATAGAATGGATACCTTATGAAAGTTTTAGAAATATACAATACCTTTCTAAAGGTGGGTTCAGTACTATTTATAAAGCTATTTGGTTATATACATACTCTATATATTTGACTAGTAATGGCAAGAGAAGTTTCTATCTACTTAAAGATGAAGATTATATAAAAAGTAAATCTATTAAATCACCTCTTAATAAAAATGATAAAATTGGAAAATACGTTATATTAAAAAGTTTAGATAATTCATCAAACATTAATAAAGATTTTTTAAATGAGGTAAATTAATTTTTTTATAATCTAATAAAATAATATTGTACTATTATTTTATTTTATTAATTTGTTATTTTAGTGGAAAAATCATTTAGAATTTGCATATTCAGCTGGACAACAATGGTTATCACCAGTTAGAGTATATGGAATAACACAAGATCCTGAAACTTTAAATTATATGATTGTATTACAGGAAATGGATCAAGGCAGTTTGCGATCTAATTTATTGATAAAAAAATACAATCCAAATGACAAGTATTTAGATTTATTTACTATTACAAGAATGCTTTATGCTTTACATGAATGTAATTTAGTTCATGGTGATCTCCATAGTGGCAATATACTTTTAAGAAATGTATGTATTATAAATATCAGTGATTTTGGATTAAGCAAACCAGCTAATGAATCCAATAAATCAAATAAAATTTATGGAGTAATTCCTTATATGGCACCTGAAGTTTTGTGTGGTAAACCATATACAACAGCTGCTGATATATATTCTCTTGGCATTATAATGTGGGAAATGACTTCTGGTATGCCTGCTTTTAATACTGTATCTCATGATTTTAAACTTTCCTTAGATATTTGTAGAGGAAAAAGACCAGAAGTTGTTAAAGATACTATGCCTGAATATGTAGAATTAATGAAAAGATGTTGTGATTCAAATGTTAATAACAGACCATCTGCTAAAGAATTAGTGGGATACTTTGTTAAATGGAAGAATGTATATAATTATGAATTTTTAGAAAGAAATTCTATACCAGGTAATATGAATTTCTAAATAATAATATTTTTTTATATAATTTAATAATTATTATATTTTTATTTTAGAAAATGAACAGATAATTAAAAATCATCCATTGACTTATTATACAAGTAAAAATCTTGATTATTCTACAAAATTAAATGAAATGTTAAGTGAAGATTTATATAGGTAATTATTATGATATATAAATTTATTTATTTTTATAAAACTAAAATCTATTTTTTTATTTATTTATATAAGAATATGTGATTAATAGTGAATATAATACAAACATTATTTAAATATTATAATTGATAGTTACTTCATTTTTGTATCTTAACATTTAATATTTTATATGCAGTAGATACTCTATAAAAAAAATATCCAAAATTTAATAGGTAAATGTATTGAAAAAAATGAACAAATTCTGAATATGTTCATTGTCTGAAATATGTTCTAAATCTTGGTAGTTTCTAAATATTATTTGTCTGAAAAATGTCTTTGTCCAGAATTTCAATGTTCGATTTCTTTAAAATGCAAAATTGGATATTTTCTAAATATTTTTTGGATAATTTCCAAATATAATCCTATTTTCTAGATATTTTCCATACATAATTATGTTTTTCTAAATATATTCCATTTTTCTGAACGTTTTTAGATATTTTCACTATTAGAGTTCCAGACGAGTCGAGTTAACTCACGAGTCAGATAAGCCGAGTCGAGTTTAAATCGAGTTGAGTTTATGTTTTTTTGACTCGATGATTTGCGAGTCAAGTCAAATTCAAGTCGAGTTAAATATTTAACTCGACTTGATTTAAACTCGACTTGATTCGAGTTGACTTGAACGATATTTTTTTATCGTTCAAGGAGAACGATGACAAATCGTTCGACTTGAACGATTTCTTTTATCGTTCAAGAAGAACGATGACGAATCGTTCGACTTGAACGATTTCTTTTATCGTTCAAGAAGAACGATGACCGAATCATTCAACTTGAATGATAACTCGAATCATTCGCTCTTTCCCCCCCTCCGATCTTTTCATTTCTTTTTTTTATTATTTTTTTCAAAGTCAAATCGAGTTAAAATCAAGTCGAGTCAAATCGAGTTGAGTTTAAAATTTGTATAACTCGAATCAAATCAAATTGAAAGATTTTATAAAATAAATTTGACTCAACTTGACTCAAAAAAAGAGAGTCAAGTCAAGTTGATCTTTAAACTTGACTTGACTCGACTCATTCGGAACTTTACCCTTGAATGACTTAAAATCCTCTTCTCGTTTATTTAAATCATCATAAAAATTTTTATACCTCATTTTGACCAAATTTTTATAACACATGAAAACACTGATATATACTTAGTTTATTTAAGGATCAA